ATAGATATTATATATTTATATAATGTATAAATTTAAAAATATAAATAATTAAGGTATATTAATAAAGATTGTTATATCACAATTTTTATCATTTTAGAATTGTTTGATATATACCATTGATAACATTAAACAATATATCTTTTATAAACCGAATTTAATTTTATTACTGAATTTCATTCCAGCCACGAGTCTTGGAAAAAAGGTCTTCTTTGGGAATTCTCACCACCTCAATATTTCATGAGAAGGAAAATCTCCAAAATGATGTGCACCTACATCTATGAAAAATCATGTCCAATCCAGATAGACTAAAGAATAAACAATATATGAAGAAAAGATGAAAGTGTTAAACAAAAATTAGGTGACCAAACTTCAAAAGGACAGACTTAAAATAATACTTAAAGAAGACAATTTCTTATAGCTTTGAGTCTATGGAGGCTAAATAAAAAGTTCCTCAAAACAATTGCTCTTTCTTGCTATTTTCAGTCATTTTTCAACTGCTGAAGGATTTTAAAAATCTGCCCCAGTTATGACTCGCAGGTGCAAAGTTCCTTCTACAAAACACGTTGCTGAAAACCTTTTTCATGAATTATATTTTGCTGTACCAATTAGTGATATTATGAAATATCCATATTTTGTATATCGGGTATTTGGACATACAGAAACAAATAGACGTTAAAGTTCGACAGCATCATAGATAAAGGATGATTTTAACTATGCTTCTCTTTTGTTTTGTTGCCATGATTTCTGAGTCTAGCACAGCAAACTCAGAAATATTTATAAAATGAAAGGTGCCCTGTGATTGTCATTGGAAAAGACAAACATGGCTATGGTGAGCAATGAGTCAGGAATTAAAAATGTATAATGTTTCCTTCACGACCTTCAGCTCTGTATTTAGAAGGTAATTTCAGCACAGTTTAAGGAAAGCATTTTTCAACCAAAAGCAAATTCCATGACATACAAGGTATTTTGAAACTCTCTTTTCCCTTAACTTTATGCAAGATGTTCAGAAAGATTGAATACCAGCTAATACATGTTAAAAAAATTTTTTTAAGTATCAGCAAAGGAAGCCTTAATACCATACTTTACAGATGATAATAGCAACATAGGAGGTCAGACAAGCAAGGAATGGTTTATTTGCTTGAACCCGCTGAAGACGGAACATGTTGATATGCCTTGAGAGGAAAGTTATCCTGATATGATATCTGCTGAAGAATATTAGTATCTGTGAAAATGAAAGCTGAGCTGCAGATGAAATTTCAGAGATGATTTTTATCATCTTAAAATCCAGTTACATTACTCCATTGCTATAATTTTGGATCCAATGTTTAAAAGGACAAATTTTTAGGGGAATGCAAATCCAAACCACAACGAGATAGCATTTCACACCCACTAGGATGGCTATAACTAAAAAACAGATTAAAAACTAGTGTTAGTGAGGATGTGGAGAAATTAGAACCCTCACGTAGTGTTGGTGGGAATGTAAAGTGGTGTAGCCACTAAGGAAAACAGGTTGGTGGTTCCTCAAAAAAATTAAACATAGAGTTACCATTTATTATTAGTGCCATCGAGTTGATTCCAACTCCTAGCGACCTTGTGGACAGAAGGGTGGAACCCCGCCTGGTCTTTTTGTGCCATCCTCTTGCCTTCTGGCATTCTATCAGACAATGCTCCACTGCTATTCATAGGGTTTTCATGGCTAATTTTTTCAGAAGTGGGTGGCCAAGTCCTTCTTCCTAGTCTGTCTTAGTCTGGAAACTCTGCTAAAACCTGTCCACCCTGGGTGACACTGCTGGTATTTGAAATATCAGTGACATAGCTTTCAGCATCACAGCAACATGTAGCCAACTCAGTATGACAACTGACAGACGGGTGGTGTGGTTCCCTGACCAGGACAGGGACCTGGGCTGCAGTGGTGAGAGCCCCAACTCTTAACTACTAGATCACCAAGAGTTACCATATGTCCCAGCAACTCTACTTCTAGGTATATACCCAAGAGAATTGAAAAGATATGTCCACACAAAAATTTGTGCATGAATGTTCACAGCAGCATTATTCGCAATAGCCAAAAAGTGGAAATAACTCAAATATCCATCAGTTGATGAATGGATAAACAAAATGTGGTATAGCCATACAATGGAATATTATTCAGCTGTAAAACATAATGAAGTACTGATACATGCTACAACAGGGATAAATCTTACAAACATTACATTAAGTGCCAATCACAATGGGCTGCATATTGTATGAATCCATGTACAAGAAATGCTCAGAATAGGTAAATCCATAGAGACAGAAAGTAGATTAGTTACCAGGGGCTAGCGGGAGGGGACATGGGGAGTGACTGTTAATGGGTATGGTGTTTCTTTTTAGAGTGATGAAAATGTTCTGGATTTAGACGGTGGTGATGGTTACACAACCTTGTGGATATACTATACTAAAAACTACTGAATTGTAAATTTTAAGAGTGGGTTTCATAATATATGAACCATATCTCAATTTCAAAAACTTTTCTCAAGTATAAAGCACTTCTATTTATCTTTTTCTATGTATAGAACTGGAAATATTTGCTTTATATATTTTGAGGCTGAATTTTTAGGAACATACAACTCTGGAATTATTATATCTTTCTCATGAATCGAATCTTTTATCACTGTAGTAACCCTATGGGTCTAGTAACATCTTTTCTTATTTAATCTACTTGCCTGATATTAATATGATTACTCCAGCTTTCTTTAGCAAGAATTTGCATGGCGTATTTTTTGTCTTTCAACTTTCAATCATTTTGTGTCCTCGTGTTATAGGTGTGTCTCTTGTAAAACTCATTTATTTAGGTTTTCTTGAATCATGTCTGACAAGTTTTACCTTTAGAGGGTTTAGTCCATTTACAAAATCAACTGTGGCTGCTGACACATTTGTGTTTATTTCTACTATCCTAATATGTGCTTTCTGTTTGTACTTATTTTTCTACTTCATCTTCTACCCCCTTTTACCTTTTATTGGTTAGAGTTTTTAGGTGATTTTTTCTCATTCTATTTATCCCCTTTAGTTTTTTGAAAGTTACAAGCACTGTGTACATTCTGTTAACAGTTAAGCTAAGTTTAGTAACATGCATATTCAACAAAGTCTAAAGTTAACATCTGAGCATTATGGAAAGCTTAGCTCACTTTTTTTTCTATCACATTCCTCTCACCTTAAATGACATTTTCCCTTAGTCTTACAATTTTATACTAGTTTTATCCTCAAATTAGACATTAGTATCTTTTTATTGAGTTAATGTTTGTTCACATGTACTCACAGATTTGTCACATCCTTTCTTCCCTCCACATTCTTTCTTGATCTCAGGCCTTCACTCTGGGATCATTTTCTTTCTGCTTACAGTGCATTCTTTACAAGATCTTTTCTCCACTGCTGTTCCCTGAGAGACTTAAGCTGTGATGCCCTAAGGCATCCATGGTAATGAATTAACTTCCCTAATATGCATCTAAAAAGACATAAGTAGAAACTAATCACTGAAAACATGTTCTGTAAGGTTGAATTTTCTCATGGAACCCCAGTTGAGAAAGGCTGCTTCAGAATTCCCTTTAGTGTGTGGATCTTTTGATGATAAAATCTCTTGGCCTTTGTTTGTTTGAAAGGTCTGTACTTTGTTTTGTTTTTCTTGAAAGATAGTTTTGATGGGTAAGGAATTCTAAGCTGTGAGCATTTTTCACTAAGCACACTGAAAATATTATATCTTCTGGATAGTGTGGTTGCATTCATATTTGGAAAAGACTAATAGGTATGGAACTGAGTTATAATAACAAAGGAAGAAGTGTGAACCAGAGAGACGTGTATTCAAACACCTCTTTGAACCTTGGTTTTCTATCTACAAAATGGCTATGTTGCAGGGTTGTTGTTAAGTTTAGAAATGATGTATATATTACATCTGAAATATAAAATATACTCATGACCTTCATGATTATTATTTATGTTTTTCTCCCTTAGTCTATAGTTTACCCATAGATTTCAAGGGTTTGAGTCTAGAGCCCCAGAGAATAAAGTGTTATGTAGGAATTGTGTAAGTACAAGATAAAATTCTCCTTCAATGAGCCAGCCATTCAGATTAGTGGGAGAAAAGATAATCTGACTCCTTTGTCCTCATCCCAAACAGGAAGGTTCCTTTCTCCCTTGGACACTAGATTATTTTCTAGATTTCTTTTTTTTTTTTTTTTGTGAGGAAGATAGGCCCTGAGCTAACACCTGCCAATCCTCCTCTTTTTGCTGAGGAAGACCGGCCCTGGGCTAACATCTGTGTCCATCTTCCTCTACTTTATATGGGACGCCACTACAGCATGGCTTACCAAGCGGTGCGTCGGTGCGTGCCCGGGATCTGAATCACCGAACCCCAGGCCGCCACAGCGGAGTACGTGCACTTAACCGCTTGTGCCACCGGGCCGGCCCCTATTTTCTAGATTTCTTGAAGACCCCAGGCACTATATCTAATAAGGTGATAAGATTTTGTTATAGTACAATGGTTTGAATTTAAGCCAAGTGCTATATTTTGATTATAAGAATGTGATTAGTTTCCAATGGTGTCATTTGAGACAACTGGCTGGGTTATTCATGCATGTGTGGCTTATCTCACTAATATCTGTCCACTATCAGTAAGAGCTTTGCCTATACCCAGGTAGCTGAGGAGTAATAAGACACAGAGTGCTCCATGCCAGGCTTTACTGTCACATGTCAGAACCAAACAACTAAATTGCTGTTCCTTCTCTGATTGGATGTGCCCCACCAGGTCACCTTGGAGATACACAGGCTTCAGGGAAATGCCTGAAATCATTGTTCACTGTCCCCTGTATTCCCCTCTCCTACACACACACACACACACACACACACACACACACACACATCAGGAGTTGCATATACCATACTCTCCTGGCATGGAGAGAGCAGTAATCCTTACTCTCTTAGGCCAGAGACCCTTCCCTTCCTCCCAACTGAGTATGGAGAGGAAGAAATAAAATTTGGTTTTTATTTTATTCATATCTGCCTAAAGGCACATTTGATTAGAGAAGAACCTGCTAAGGATTAAACATTTAACTAGGTAAATCAGTCACTGAAGATTTTGAAGACTTTTTAAAGACTAAAAATAGGCATCATATGGATATACTATGGTATACATAACAATTTCCCTGTTGATTTTTTAGGTATTTTCACATTTTTGCTATTGTAAGGAACACTTTGTTTGATATTCTTGACATTCTTCCTCCCGAAAAATTGCTTGTAGATGAACTCCAACAATCCAAGAAATGTGTTATAACACAGTCTTACAACTTGGGTTGGTCTGTAGTTTCGATGTCTGAACCACTCTTTATTTTCTCAAACAGAATGATCTAGGAAGAAAAGTTGACTGTACAGGATCAGCAAGACTGCAATTTGCATTCTGGGGATGAAGGCAGATCTGAACACTTATGAGACATAATAGTCAGGGGTGGGGGTGAACGTACCTCATTGTCTTCTGGATGAAGCCAGGCACCAGGAAGGTAAAGTGTTTCTTGAGGCCCAATAATCCAATATCGTCCAAGGTTACGTCCATTGATGAACACAAATCCATAATTCCAGCTCTGGAAGGGATGGTGCCTTGAGATATAGCAACAGATTCACACTGCCAAGGTAAAACCTAAGGGACTTGGGGAGTGAGAGCAAGACTGAGATGCTTTATGGCACTGAAAGTGGAAGTGAGTTTAGAATGGGACGTATTCTAGAAGTTCTGCCCTGCTGTACCTGGTCCAGGGATGACAGAGGAAAACATGAACCAGTGCTTTAATGCTAATGCTACTGTTGTTCCTACCCTGTGATATATAATGCTGTAATATATACAGCATTAAATAACCAGGTCTTCCACTTCCAGAAATAACTACTAGGTCATAGAGATGAACACTGTTGACAACACCTATAAGAGCTACACAATTTTTTAAACCTGCTTGCAATACAATGAAGAATTACAGGACCAAAATCTAGAAGAAAATTGAGAGACAAGAAGACACTAAGGCAGTTTTTCCACTAGAGGCAACTGCTTATTCAGGAAGAGGTGGGTGAAAAGCTGAGCAGAACTTTTCATAGCCTCACAAGTTTAGGGCAACAAAAATTAGGTACCAGGGAACCCAAGTAATCTACACTCTGGGTTGGGACCCTGAGGGGCTATACTCTAGGATAAGAATTAACTAGAAATAATCCAGTCATTGGATGGAAGCCTTGATTCAAATCATTTCAGTCCTTGTAATTGTAGAAAGGTGATTATTAGTGGCCCTGGTCACCTCCAGGGGTGGATGTAAATCCTCTGACATCATCTTAGGCTTTGAATTATTTCTAGCATTTTTCACATTTAATGTCTGGCACTCAATCAAAAAATAATCAAGCAGATGAGGGAAAAAAAAAGACAATATAATAAACAACCAAAAGGAACAACAGACAATAAAAATAGATACAACGGTGATACAGATAACAGATTTAAAAGTCACAGGCTTTAAAATAACTATGCCTAATAAATTATAATCTTCAAAGAGATGAAAGACAAGACTTAGAATTTTGACTGAGAAGTGGAAACTACAGAAAAGGCTAAAGTTATAGAATAAAAATCTAGAACTAAAAAAATATAATAATTAGAACTAAAAATTTAACAAATATTTTGAATAGCAGATCAGATATAGCTAATTAGAGAACATAGCTAAATAGAGAATTAGTAAACTGAACAATAGGAAAGAAGAAATTTTCCAAAATTAAACTCAGAGGGAAAAAGAATGAGAAACATACAAGGCAGGAAGAGACAAAAGAGATATAGCAAAATGGTCTAACATATAAAATTGGAGTCTCTGAAATATTCCAGGTAAAAGACAAAGCTTTCTCAGGGGCCAGCCTGGTGGCGAAGCAGTAAAGTGCATGCGCTCTGCTGCTGGCGGCC